TGTCGTTTGTGGCTTGGAGTTTTCGTTCTCGTTCTCGTTCTGGTTTCTAGTTCTGCCTCTGGTTTAGGCCAAAAGAAAAATAAATGTTTAGGAATAATAATAAAGTTGACTAGGAGGGAAAAAGCAAAGAGCGGTGAAATTTTCTTTTTATTTTGATACCCTTTTTACCCAGAGATAGATGATGATCAAAGTGTTAGGCGAGGCTTAGATTTGCAGGGATATTATTATATTAAATTTTTCTCTTAAATAAATGAAGGAATTTTCATTTTTGAAATTGCCTTTCAAATTTTGGTAACCCCATCAAATATAATTTTCTAATGGTTTTTCTCACTTGCTCTCTAAGCCTATTTCTTGACATTTCCATATGGAAACTATTTTTCTTGTCAGTATTTTTTTGTTCTATATTTTAACTTCTTTTTTTTCTATCTTTTTGCCTTGCTCGCCTGTGGGTTTAACTAGATTTGCTTTAGCTGCATTTTATGCGAATATTTCAGTTTCTGCTCCTTTTTCTTTGCATGTGGCATCTTCAGCTTCTGCTTGGCATATTTTATGGCCAGAAAAAGATTGTGTGTGTGTGTGTGTTTGGGAGAGAAGCTTTTTTTGTAAGTTTTTAATTAAAGCGAAAGTGTCGACAGGCATGCTGGGGAATATGGCCAGCAAGACCAGCAGCGATGTCCTGGGAGCCAACGAGCTGCCACTTTTGGCTTTTTGCAAATTGTTGCAGTTTATTTTATTTAGTTTTTCCCGAGTCTGATCGATAAACTTGGCAATTTTCGGATGACCGAACGTTTGCTTCATCGCCTGCTAACAGGAAAAGTTTTCGTGGCAAAACTGCATAACATGGTCCGAAAAGGATTGAAAGGAGTTTATCAAGAAGGCGGGATGGCAGTTGTTCTTAAACAAAGCTGTTGGGAAATTAAACTTATTTCTTGTTTTTACCAATAAAACGATGATAGCCTTTGAAGGCTAAAAAAGAAGCTGATCTTACATCATTTCAATTTGCTTACTCAAATCTTTCATAAATTTGCAATTTTAATGCGACTGCCCTGCAGCAATGCTCGGCCCAAAAATGAAATCCAGCAATTTGTCAAACAACTCGCTGCCCACGCCAATAACGTAAAAAAGAATAAAAAAAACAAACCCAAACAGAAAACAAGAATTTGTAAATCTTCCAAATTAGAAACTTGTCATTCCGATTAGCCTCAGACAAACAACAACAACAACAACAACAACAACAACAACGAAAATGTTTCAGTTTCTTTTTTACATTCTCAGCCGAAAAACTTAACTCTGAGAACAGGTTTAATCTCGACCCAGGGCTTGCCTTTAAGGGCTTAAATCGCACGAACAAAAGGAAAAGGAAGAAGCCAGAAATATTGTAAATAAAAGGGACACAGCGACATTGTGGCCGAAATGATATTTCTTCGTGGCGGGAGAAAACAAAAAAAAAAAGGGTCCAAATGAGAGAAAATGCGCGCACATAAAACAAGATGAAACAAAGGCCAAAACGGCATTAAATACAATAAAAATACGGCGAAAAAATATTATTAAGAATGCGCAAAGACAGAGAGAGAGAGAGAAAGAGAGAAAGAAAAAGCAATTAATAATAATTAATGTTTTTATCTTTTTGTTCAGCCTTCGCTGGATGAATTTCTGTGAATAATATTCCTCTCGCAGCGAGAGAGAGACAAACAGGAAACCCGAATCCCAGACTTTCAGAGTCCCAGAATCCCAGTATTCCCGAATCCAGTTCCTACATTCAGTCTCTGTTTATACCCGTTACTCGTAGAGTAAAAGGGTATACTAGATTCGTTGAAAAGTATGTAACAGATAGAAGGAAGCTTTTGCGACCCTATAAAGTATATATATTCTTGATCAGGATCAATAGCGAAGTCGATTGAGCCATGTCCGTCTGTCCGTCCGTCCGTCCGTCCGTCCGTCCGTCCGTCCGTCCGTCCGTCCGTCCGTCCGTCCGTCCGTCCGTCCGTCCGTCCGTCCGTCCGTCCGTATGAACGCTGAGATCTCAGGAACTATAGCAGATACAAAGTTGAGATTAAGCATGAAGATTCTTGAGGTCCCGGGACAGCGCAAGTTTATTACAGCATCCTGCCACGCCCACTCTAACGCCCACAAATCGCAAAAAACTAAAATTACTGAAATCATAGGAACTATTGCAGTTAGAAAGTTGAAATTCAGAAAGTATAATCTTTAGATGACAGCGCATCTTATAGTAGTACTACTATCCGGCCTCACCCACCCATACGCCCACAAGGCTCAAAAGACGGTTTTCGGATTTTCTAGAAAAGCTGATATCTCGGTAACTATTCGTAATAGAAAGTTCGGATTAAGCATGTAGGTTTCTATGATGCTCCCAATGCGAATTGTTTTTTCCGATCAAGCCACGCCCACTCTAACGCCCACAAAATCCGAAAAACCAAAAATGCAAAAATCTCAAAAACTATAAGAGCTACACAATTTTGCTTAGAAACACATATTTAGTAGATGCCTCTGCAACTTGCCACGAAGTTGCATTAGGCCACGCCCACTCTAACGCCTACAAACCGCGGAAAACTGTGGCGTCTATAATATTATTATGAATGCCTTTGTTTGACCTTGTATAACTTATTTCTGTTAATATCTATCGATTTACCAAAGGTTTTTCAAATCGGAACATTATTGCGCTATTTATGAAGAAATTAAGGTTATAAAGCCTCACATGGGAAGTGACGTCACTATAAGCATACTCAACATACTTCCTCTGACAATAGGTGGCGCCTTGTGAATTTCCACTAGCAAAATTAATATTTTAAAATTGTGTAAAACAGTAACGGGTATCTTATAGTCGCGGCACTCGACTATAGCGTTTCCTCTTGTTTTTTATTTGTATTTTTTTTATTACATCCCGGCAGCAGGAGCAGAGCAGCAGCAGCAGCAGCAGCACGGAGTTGACTTAATTGATAATTGGAATTTCTTTTTCCCTGCCAGCAATGTATTTAAATTTTTCAACATCATTTCGTTTCATTTGTTTCTCATTGCTCTGCACACTGGCCTGGACTTTAACCCAAAAAGGCCGCAAAACTGCGAGCCAAAAAATAATTGTTCAAAAGAATCTGCAAGCCGGACGTTAAAAAAAAAAAAAAAACTACAAAAAAAGATACAAACCGGCAATAAAACCAAAAAACCGCAGCAACTGCAAAAAGAGAGAAAAGTTGTATTTATTTTTGTTCTTTTTTCGGTCTTTTAAAATCGTTGCAAAAGTGTTGGGAAGAGGCGTTCTAGCGTTTAACAAAAATTTTGTGGCCGTCGCCAATCGACAGCAGCCGAAATGTATCTTAAAGTTTGCCACTTGCCTCTGTCGATGCGGAGAGATGGTGTTGATGTTGATGGTTCTTCGGCTTGACTTTTTGGCTGCGGGCGGTTTTTTGTTGTCTTTCCGTTGAACGCCTTCGCCTTCGCCGCCGTTCTGCCAGATACAAAATGTATCTGTATCTGCAGCTGGGCTTGTGTATCTTTCGCGAGTGTGTGTAGTAGCTTCAGGTTCAGTTTCAGTCTCAGCACTTTTTTTTTCGGAGGCCTCCACAGCTTCAGTTCGTTTGTTATGGCTTTTGTACAACATTTAAATGTTTAGCTGCCGTTTGAGCTTCGTATTTTGAGAGTGTTTGTTAGAGGGTATGAGAGGGGTGTGCTAGGACTAAGAGATTTTACAGGAGATATTCGAAAATATTCACAAAAATGGATGGATATGGAAAGAAACTTACAGAAATAGAAAAATAGATCAACTTTCCCCAACTGTTATTAAGCTAAAAAACCCAGCATATCTTAACTTTGTAGAACTTGAAATAACTGTAATTATAGCCTTGCCTAATTAATGGGTAACCCCTAAACCCTAACCCATGTCAAAGTTTCATTTCCACTCACGCTTTCTTGTTCGCTGAGGCCTCTTCCTTTCGGCTTTTATTTTGTAGGCGTGAGTTTTATTTCAGCTCACTTAATGCGAATTAAGCTAATTTAAAAGCGATTCGAAATTAACTTTAATGTGTATGCAAAGCAACACGAAGCGAGAGGGAGAGGAGCGAGAAAAATAACAGAGAAAACCAAACCAAAGCAGAATTTCATTTCTAACACTTTTGCTTCCTTCATCATGGGGCTGGGCTTTCTGTATTTTTGTATTTTTGGGCTTGGGCTTGGGTCTTCGATTGGGTTATGTGTGGTTTTTTAGGGGCCACGATGTGTGGGCGTCTTGAAGTGGCTTCTGTTGCGCCCGCTTTTCCACTGGATCGAGCCCCTATGTATATATATAGGTATATATATCTATTGAAATTGCTGTGGTTGTTGTTGTTGTTGTTGTTGTTGCTGCTGTTGCCGCTCTGACCCAATTGACGTAGTCAACGTCGTCGTCATCGCTTCGCTTGTTAGAGGAGCTCTTAAAATAAAATTGAGAAAAAATACAAAAAAAAAAAGTAGGAAAACGAGGAAAAAATAAGGAAAACCGAAGTAGAAGTGCAGGTCGCTAGTAAAATGCACATTGGATGAAGATGGTAGGTTCCACCACATGTCTATAGATACACACTAACACACACACACACACTCTTAGCCAGGCATATATGCAAGTGTGTATGTGTGTGTGTGCCTAAATTGTAGGTAGCAAGCATGTATCTTAATGAAGGCAATTTGCTTGTCGAGTTTAGGCAAGTTAGTTTACCGAAAATTGGCATATGGCCAGTAGCAACAAAAGCCCCGTTCAGGGCACTGCATTTGAACCCCCCCTGTCCGAAAGCCACCCACTTACGTCCTCTTCCTACTCTCCCCCTCCTGCTCACACCTTCCCTATGGCCTTTATATAGAGCTTACAGCTCAGTTTGCCTATAATGAACCATTAACCAATCAAACTTTTGTGGTTTTTGAAGATTTTTGAGATATACAGAGGTTTATTTGTTAGTTTCTTGTTAAGTATTACCCTTTGATATCTATAAAACTAATAAATTCTCTTTTACTTACAGTTCCAAAGCTGAAAAGATTGTCAAAGGACCGAAACTAAGAAGTAAGTCAGACAAAAATAGTATAGTAAATATAATTATAATTCTAAAAAATATAAAAAAACATAAAAATAATCTTAAACAAGCTTAAATTTAATCAGCCTTCCTTTGTATCTCATATACTTTAATGCCGATTCCCCCCAAAAATGTTCTTGAAGTGGCCCCAAAAATGAAATTTAGACTTGAGGAACTTCCTCTTTAGGAATTTCGACCGTAGCCCGGCTCCCTTAGTCATGCACCAGGGCGGCGGGCGCACATGTCGATAAACCAACTTACACACATCGATGGCGATAGGGAACACCATGATGAAGGGAGGAGCGCAGGGATTAGAGTGTTCCAAGGAGGAGGAGGAGGAGGAACAGGAACGAAGAGGATGAGGACATGCCTGGCATGCACTCTGGGGGGTAATGCGAATTTGGCTGTTCAGCTCACCATATACCCATCCCCATCCTCATTCCGCACTTCCTACTGACCCTTTCCTACACGTAGCGAAAGAAGAGTTATGCAAGCTGCAGATACATTTTGGCCCAAAATGTGTGTGTGTGTGTGAGTGAGTGTGTGTTACTGCCTTGTGTGTGTGGTATGTAGATACAGGGCTCGAAAGGATGGAAGTTTGGGCCCCAAACAAAGCCGAGAAGCGATGGATTAGAAATGATTTACAGGCCAGTTAGGAGAAATGTTCAACGATTTCTTCTCGCCTTTCATTCAGTTGCAAAAATTTTAAATACTTTAGAATTCGGAAAGTGTAAATAAAAGAAAACTAAAGAACTAACTAACAAGATATCGAATAATAAATACAATAATAAATAATTAACATGTTCTCCTTTATATTAATAAGAACTCATTTGGTCAAATTACAAAAATAATTAAAAGGTTAATACATTGCCCTAAGGCAGTCCATTTCTCACTACTTTCTTCATGCTTTCTATTACCAACTTTCCACAACTTTTAATACAAAAATTCCCTACAATTTAATGAACTTCTTATACCTAAACTTTGGCCACATTTACGCGCCAAACTTGTGCACATTTATCATTCCGAAAATTTACTGTCTCTTCCATTAATCAAATTGGCTTAAAGTATTTTTTTTTGCCGTGTACATTTTCGGGCGGGTGGCCAAAACGAAAATGCCAAAAACGAATTTTGCTTAAATTGCGAAAATTTAATAATCTAATAAGGCAAATTTTAACAAACTATTTAATGCCTGAAACTGAATGCAGACTCGGGTTAAATTTTAGGCAAGCCAAAAAAAAAAAAATGAACAACCAGGCAGCCTAAGAGAGTTTTGGAATTGGCCTAAGGCGAAGCGTTTAGCTTAAGTTAAGCGGAGACAGCAGCAGTCGCGTTTAATGTCTGTGAAATTGAAAAATTTACTCTTTAATATGCGAACGAGTTGATGGGTTGGTCGCTTGGTTAGCTCAGAGCTGGCTTCTGAGCTCGAAGAACCTGCCGGAAAGAGTCAGATACGGATGCTGGCAGTGCTGTTGGATACTCGCCTGCTGGTCAGGCCAAATGGTGTGGAAGTGCTGCTTGTGCTGCTTGAAGTGCAGTTAGAGCAATTTCACAACTCACTAACAATCATTAATGCGTCGCCGACATTTTGCTGCCCAGCTCCTCCTCACTTCGTTTGGATTTTTCTTTTTCCTAGAGAAGGAAGTCGGCCTTCTAATAAGCAGCCTCTCGCCGGCAAACTTAAATCATAAACAGGCCGAGCTGGCTGCTTTATGAAATGGAAAATGTGCAGCAAATGAAAGAAAACACAGGAATCAGGAGGGAGGAAGGGAGGTAGGAGGCAGGAGGCAGGCGGTTGTGGCAGGCGCACAAAATAAAATTATTCCGAGTCGAAGGAAAAGCTTCCCGATGGATGGTTGGTTGGTTGGCTGGCTAGCTAGCTGGATGGTTCAGTGCCTCGTTTGCTAGCGTTTGGATGTGATTGAGGCCTGCGGCTCATTTTGAAGTTCATGTCGTATAGCGCTTGCTAAATCGACACGCAGATAGATATGGGGAAAACCGTAAAATAGGAGTGGGTTTGGCTGCTGCTGTAGAGGATTTAGCGTAGAGAGTCTAATGACAGCTATGCGAGGTGTGTTTAAGATGTAAGTGCGTATTTAGCACTTTTTACAGAGTTAAAAGAAGAGAAAAGGTTTGGTTTTTGGAATGTTTAAACCTAAGAAACATCTTTGGTTTGGAATATTTACTTCAACATGTTAGATGAAGTTCATTTTATAATGATTTGTTTCCTTAAAGAACAAACTTCATCTACTTTTTAAGGCCTTTTTAATGTCTGTACCTTGCCATCAGGCTTACCCTACTTTGTTGACAACCCACGTTCGCGTCGTTTATGTTATATCATGCAGCAGCAGCAGCGACTTTGATGACGGCCTGTTGCTGTTGCTGTTGCCTCGGGAGTTTGGTCTTTCCCCTTATATTCCCGCTTTCCCCTCCTTTTCATCTACGAACGAAAGAAGATCGTAAATGTGTGCCAAATTATAAGTCATATGAAACAATGACTGCTACTTAGTTATGACCATAAAAAAGGAGGCCAGAACGTAGGGGGATGCTGCTGCTGTCAAAAGTCATTTTTGCGCATAATTTTTACAACCAAGTCACCGCTTTTTGCTTGCTGTTAACTCGAAACTCGAAACTCGTCGCGTTCTTCATATAACTTTTATAGTCTCCCCTGGTCGTTGCTAAAATATTCTAATTGTTTTCAACAATTTTTGAATGCGACGAGTGTATACGCGCGCACGGCAGTGTCATAAATCTCTTTTGGCCATACTGCAGCGGGATGAGGCGGCGCACAAACTGAAATGGCCAAGACAAATTTGCTTTAAAGCTCGCCAATAAAAGTTAACAGCATAGTCGACCATGCGTTTGTGTGCCATCCTCTCCGGCTTTATACCTTCTGCGTGTGTGTGCTTTTTGTATCTTTTGCATAATCTAGCCAAAAAGAACGCATTTGAGACTGGTTTTTATGGTTCGCCGTGTTGTAAAGGGATGCGGGAAAAGAAAAGGTTGGTAGAGGGGTGTGGGCCATGATTGAGTGGAATGCACGGAAATCGTAATTAAAATTTGTTGCTTCACAAGAAGCTCTATCTGGATGGCTGATGGCTAATGCCTGATGGCTGAGCATGTTTTCTTTTTATTTATTTTTATGATATTTATATCTATTTAGATAGTTGGTACTTTATAGCTCCACCTGTGTATATGCTTTACAGTCTTTATCCGCAGTCATTTGGCTGGATATTTTATGCCGAAAGGATTTTTGCAGATATCGTAAATTTTATGTCTAATGTGAGGGTAATTTGGGATGTGGAATGTTAGGCAACAGTGGCTTGAATTTATTTCATTACATTATATTACGTTTTTGGCTAGCTTAAAGCTTTTCTTAAGTGCTGCTTAGAATGGGATTCGATATTTTACTTTATTTAATATACTTCACTGGAATTTCTGAACAATTTCCTAACCATATTCCAACACTTATCTTAGTTAATAAATTAACTAAAGAATCAACATAAATTTCGGGAAAGCACTTCAATGTTTCATAACTTTGCTCACGCAGCCTCCGAGAAACTTCACGCAGCAGTTAATACAAACTCAAAGATTACGTAAATATTTCCTCATATATGTACATTCCTGGCTCTCAGCCGCAGATAAGTTTTCACATGCTTAGCAGCGTTAAGCGAGGCATCCGTTAGATACACCCGAAAATAGATACTTTCGCCCATAACTTAGGGCCATTGCACGGCAGCCACTTGGCCCGAGTTCATTGCCAATTCGCATGCAACTTGCAGATACTTCGCAATCATGTCTCAGCCACTTTATATCATTTTAATAATGTATCTCGAGCTAGCTAGGTGGTAGTATCTCGCCAGCCAAGAGTTCAAAGTAGTTTGCACTCAATTTCAATATTTTACAGCGCTAACGAAAATAAAGAAAAAAGGAAAATATAACATGGCTAGAGGAAGGAGTCTTGGCTTGCAGCTGGCAAGACAGCAAAACACAATGTATCTCGTAGATACATATGTTTTCTACATAGCTATATTGCTTATTATATATTAGCGTGAGTTTGTGTGTGTGTTTGTGTGTGTCTGTTGTTCAGGGGCCCCTCAGGAGCCAAAGTAACTAATATGAATAGCTAATAAATCACATTTGGACGGTGATTTATGTGACAGGTGCGTATTGCGATTTGAAATTGGCAACAGTTTCCATTTCGTATCCGCAAATTGGCTAAAAGCATACCATGTGTTACCTTAAATATGTTTTTTTTTTTTTTTTGCGATTTCGCTTTTGGTTTCGCCCCATTTTGTCATGTAAAATAATATCGAATAACCCGAAAGAGAACCTAATCCAAATGTATGCGTTAATTTTGCCCTAAGAGTTGTCAAATTAGTTCAAGGGAAAAGGTCCCACTGGCTGACCCTCAATTACGCATTTCTTTGGAAAACTTCGTTAATTTGTTGTGTCGACTCAAACAATGACCTGGGGTTAATGGATCTGTGGAGTGGCCTAGGACATTGGTTCGTTATTAGTCCGCCACCCTGACCAGAGAAACCCAACAAAAAAGTGAGCAAACGCACACACGCAGTGAGGAGTCGGACTTTATCGATGCCATCAGCTAGCTATAGCTGGGTCTCCTCTCATTATGTAACCTCTCATAATTCTTTCATTAATGAAATTCCCACACGACGGTGCCACCACCATCATCTGCATTATGTAAATCTTCCATCAACAACACGGCTCAGCACGGAGTCGGTTTCATTTTTGGACCCAGCTCAGCTCAGCTCAGTTCGCCCTGCCCCCAGTCCACCACTTTTCTGCTCCTTTCATCCTTGTCAACTAATTTCAGGGTTGTGGTGCGGCCGACTGACTGCCTCTGCCTGTCATGTTTTTTAAGACTGTTTTAATTTTCATCCTTTTTCGAGTCAGCAGGAGGAGGAGGAGGAGAAGATTGTTGGAATGAGCAGAGCAAGAACCAAGTCAGGCACCACCACCATCGGCTTTTACTTTCCTTTCCTTTTGGCTTTAAAATGTTGGCCAAAAACCAAATAAGACGAAAAACTACCTGTTCACAAAACCCACACACACCGCAGAGGTAGCAAGAAGCATTAACAACAGCAGCTACAACATATCCCCCAAACGAACAACCGACAACCAACAACGTCAGCCGAAACTGAACTGAAATGTCGAGCCGGCAAACAACGCCCAGTGGGCACAGTGGTTCGGCGTTGAGTTCCTTAATTTAAAGGGTTAATTAAAATTTAATTGGCAACTAAATTAGGCTAAATTGCTGGAAATTAGGTGGAGGTTCCGTTGAAATAAATAGTTTTGTCAGTGCAAAGGAAAGAAGGAGTATAGTGATGGGAATTGGGAAATGGTGAGACAAATTTGTATTATATTTATTATAAATATTATTTATATTATTATTTAATATTTGAAATTTGGAGGCTCAAATTATGATATTTCATCATATTTTTATCCTAATTGCTTAGTATTTTTTCTAAATTTTTTATAACATTTATTTAACATTAATTCAACCAAATCAACCCTAATAATTTTTAAATCTTAAATAAGCTGAAATTTGAAATAAATTTGTTTAGTTCTTAGAATAGAACCTTTATTTTTTTGGGTAAAATACATTTTGTTTTATAATTTTTTTCTTAAATTTGTAAACATTTTTCTCCACTTCACAGCCACTGTGCAGTCACATTTGTCTTCTCGACTCCCATTCCCTCTTGTCTTATTTTTTGTTTTGTTGTATTTTCTGGCCTCTCCGGGGTTCTCCTGAGTTCGGTTCTTTTTTTTCAGCCTGGCTTGGTGGCTGCTTTTAAATACCCTTTACCTTGGCCATATTAATGCGGCTCCCACTGTTACTTGTGCATTGTTGTTGTTGTTGTTGTTGTTGTTGGTGTTGCTCGTGTTGCTGCTGCTGCTGTGCTTTTGGTGTTGCTGTTGTACTTCACATGTAGTTTGGTTGTCATTTGGCAGCGCCCGCTGTTTAGTGTCCAACATGAGGGCCGTTGGTGTCGGCAACGCTGCTCCCTGCAATTGGAGAATGCGAGAAAGGGAGAGAGGTGAAAGAGTCAGAAAGAGATGGGGGCAGAGAATGTGGAGCTCAGATGGAGTCGCCTGATGCTGTTGCTGCTGTTGCTGCTGCTGCTTCTTGGTCTGGGGTATTGGTATTTCGCCTGGTAGCCTCAGCGACAGTTGTTGAAATTAAATGCTCACATGTGGGTTTTGTTTTCCTGTCTGCCTTTGCTGTCCTGGCGCTGTGCTTAAAAAGTCCCAAGTCAACACAAAAAAAAAAGAGAAGAAGGGAAGAGAGAGAAGAAATACAGGTGAAATTGTAAAGGGTGAACCATAGAATAGTCAAAGAAGAAATCAAATTTTAAAAGGAAACAAAAATAGATTTAAAAGAAAACCTAAAATTTTCAAAGTTTTTAGTTTATCAAGAACCCAAGTTTATTCAGCATGCTTTAAGTAAGTTTCACTGTACCTGAGCACACATCACAGCCAAATAAAATGGATGGCAGTATGTAAGGTAACACAGGAGGCAAAAAGGATTGCAGTCAACAACAACAATGCTCAAGTCTAGGGCGAGTGCCAAAACATACAAGAGAGCAGCATACATACATATTTATACACATACACATACATATATATAAAGATATATATATATACAAAGGAACAACAGACAGATAAGGAACAAAAAAATAAAGGGAGATGCTTTCATTTCAGTTGCAATCTCCAATAAAGCTTAAAACATGGGCGAGGGAAGTTTTAAAATTTTAATGATTATTGATGGATGGAAAGTTGGTAAGCCAAAGGTAGACAGGAAAAAAAAAAGAGTTTTCGAAGGAGGAAGAACAAGGAGGTCTTGCCCATTTGGTAAATTATTGGGGCATTTATAAAAAATCATGACTTTGAAATAAGAGTTTTAATTATAAAGTTGTGACTTGTGAGAGGGGCTTAAAGTCGCTTTAAAAACGATGATATTATTTGCAGTTTTGTTTTAAGGATTTTAAGAGGTATCAATGGAGTTTATTTATATGATTTTTCCATTTAAATCAAGGGAAAAACGCAGTCACAAACTCTTTCAATCAATATGAAATCTTACAAGTTGGCTACAATTTGATTATAATTTTGTTTTATATTTTCCTCAAGTTTTCTTTCGAGTTTTTCCAAAACTCCAATAACTACTCTCCTTTCAAAGTTCGAACCCCCCTTTCTTGGGCAAATCAAAAGCAAGTCTTGTGTGTTATTGCTGCTGCTGCTGCTGCTGCTGCTGTTATTGCCAAGTCTTTACAATTCGGGGCCAGGCACTTCATTTGCTCCGCTCAAGTTCCGCAGATACAGATACAGATATAGATACAGATACTTCGGCATCGTTCGCTTGTCTTCTGGCTGCATTTATGGTTGCATTTACTTTTTAATTTCATTTGCTGTTGCTGCTGCTGCTGTTGCACTCCTTTTTCGAATTCAAGTGGAGTCAATTTCTTATGTCATGACAAGACACATACTTCAATACACACAACAACAACAACGGCATCAACGAGCTCAAGTCGGGATAAAAAATAAAATAAGAAATGCCAGACAGGGCAGTGTGTTCTGTTTTGTCTTTGGGATCCCGATCCCTTTTGGAAGATGTTGTCGCCATACGGAATGGGGACTTTATGGCTATATACCTTTAACATTTTCGGGGGCACTCCGCCGCCCCTGGGCTTAAATATCTTTACTTATTTTTGGACATACTTGATTGAAGTATTTATGAGATTTCAGGCATTTCTGTAATTTCCTTTTGAGCTTTAAGTTACGCTTTTCTTATGCCTCTGCGCCATGGGACTGCTGTCCCATCATCAAATGTTCGACAAAAGAGTTAAATGTTAAATGTAGGAGAGAAGAACATGGGACATGGGTCAGGGCAGCAGGAACACAGATATATATTTACATATGCATGGGGCTGGCTCCACCGCCGCCGTCCAGGTCCATGTTTGTCAGATGAAAAGATATGTCTTTACATGTTTTAATTTTCTTGGAAATTGTTGTTCAACTTGAGCCAAGAGCGAAGGCACAAAAACCGAAGAAACCGAAACCGAAACCGAAACCGAAACCGGGCAAAATACACACAGATACTTGAAGTCGGTCCAACTCTTCCACAGCATTTCTTTCTCCGAGTCTTTGGTTTATTTTTTGTTTTTAAGTGAAATGTTAAACCTTTTGACAGCGGTAGTTTTCTTATTTAATTTATTTTATTTGCGGTATTTACTCTCGTCTCGTTTCGGTTCTCCTCTATCTCTTGCCACAGCCTCCTGTTCCCCCCCCCCCTTTTCGTTGTTCACTTTTGGAATTCAATTTTGGCTTTTTGTTTAGAGCCAGTTCTCCACTGTCTTTCTCGGCGCATTTTAATGTCAAACAATTGACATGGTTAGGCTTAAAGTTCTCCGAGCGTGTCTCGTCTCAGTCTCAGTTTGGTTTTTGTGGCCAATAATTAAAGTTGACAACTCGGATATGCGGCTAAAGGGGGGGCAGAGCTAAGATATCTGTAGACACACACACACTCACTAATTTAGCCTTAAATTGTTGAATTTTTCTTCTTGGTTTCTGTGGTTTTGCGGAAGAACTACCCAAGGGCGAGGTGGTTTTTGAAATGCTTAAGGAATTAGAATTAGACAAAGATGGTTTAATCTTCTTCGAGTGTTGTCTGAAAACAAAGTTCTGCGAAATCTATTAAGTTAAACAGAATCATTTGAGATTAAATGTTTAATGCCAAAAAAGGTTGTTTAGGTATTAAACATTTTTTAAAGAATTTTTGGGAACTTCACACACGAAGTCATACAAAACTTTCGTCTGAAAATTGTTCACCATATTCCCTCAGCAATTAATCCGTATTATGTGCCGACTACTTATGAAACTCTAATCTAAACTATACACCAACTTATAACATTTTTCTCACTCGAATCATTTATCTTCCCCGTTGAGCTAAAGTTTTTAAGCTCTTTTTGTTTTTTAAACTTTTTGATTAGAGCAATTCCTCAAGTTTTCTCGGCGTTGCTGTAAGTCAAAACGCTTTGGGGACACCGCAGTTAAAAAATATAAAAAGAAGAAAAGTAGAAAATAATAATAAAGGAAAGAAATAAAACAGGAAAATTACAAACTTACTTTTGTCATTACACGAAGCTCTACTGTTTGTTAGGGAATTCCAATCGATGTGGTTTCTACTCATGCCTCTTCTGTTTTTTCTCTCAAAAGAACTTTCTTCTCGGCATCATTTCTCAAGCTCAAAATGACGAAACGCGCAGCTTGGATTATTAATTACAAATGCCCAGAGAGATGAGATGAGATGAGATGGTTTTTGGGATTTATTTAGGTGTGTTTGTGTGTGTGTGTGTGTGTGTATCTGTGCCGTCAGGCAACCGAATCGAAATCGAATACGAGTCCGAGAATCCCACCACCTCCTTCCCACAAAACTGTGCGACAATTTTGACTTTTATAAATATTTTGACTTGTTTTTGTAGCTGACAGATACCTCAGTCTCCTCTTTTCCATCTCCATCTCCATTCCCAATATCTTTTTGGTCTGTTTTTGATGCTGCCTTTGCTGCTGCTGATGCTGCTAATGCTGCCGGCGGCATATCTGTGACAAAACATCATTCAACGTGTGCAATGATTGATGATGCAACTCAAAGCAACTTGTACTCAATTTTCACTGCCCGCTGAGCCAGGAACGTGGGGTTTATACACACACACACACACACACACACTAGTACAGAAACTCACATAACTTGCTGGGCATGACAAAATGTCACAAATATTCTACAAGCAATTTGTTTAAATATCGCATAAAAAAAGGGAGGGGGAGAGGTCCATGGCAAGCCAAAGGTAAAATTGTGCTTAAGAGCTGGAATTATAGTTACCCTGTAAAAGGAAATTATTGGTAAAAAGATTGGGAATGATTAAAAGTTAAACAAATATGGAATTAGCAAGGAGTTTATAAGGTTTAAGAGTAAAAAATTATATAAAATATTATTATTTAAATATCCCATTAAAAGGTTTGCTTATGTCTTTTATTCCCTAAAAAGATTTCCGTTAATAAATTTCTTATAAAGTTAAAAGTTAAAAGTTAATAACACAAACTTATTTTATATAAGTTCATTAGTTATATACCTTACATATCCAGATAATCATAAATAAAAAGGTTAAATCAAATATGAGGCCTTTATAAAATCACATCCTTGCGTTATTCACTCGACCAACCAATAAACCCCATTGGCCGAGGGTATAATAAAACGAAAGGCGATTGCGTGATGTGGCCAAAAGACCAAGCGGGAAGTGCTTGCTGGGGGATTTCAGGGGATAGGCAGAAGAGGGCAGAAGAGGAGGATATCCCGCCTAAGTCTAAACTGGAAGCCCAAGTGATTGGGGAGCCACAGAAAGGCGCGCAGCCGTGCGGCAATTAATATGTGAGCAAGATGCAACCATTGCCATTACCATGTGCCTTCAACTTGAACACAAAATAGTTAACTAAAAGGCAAATGGTATGGCCAAGGGGGCAGGTGGAATAGTAGAGGGGCTATGAAGAAGGGGATCTGAAGTCCAGGTCGAAAGCTGGCAACGGCAACAGCTACATGATGTGCAATTACAAGGCGGGCTAGCAGCAGCAGCAGCAGCAGCAGTGCAACACTGCAACGGCAACGGCAACATTGCTGCTGGAGCACCAACAGCAACAAAGCAACATAAGTGCAGTGTCTGCCCTGCCCTGCCCCGCCCCCTTTTTGCAGGCCATGGAAGAGGAGCAAAAGCAGCAACAACAACAACAACTGCTGCAACAGCAAAAGCAACAGCAGCAGGCGAAGCAAAAAATATTGCATCTTCTCAAGCATTTAATCTTCTTTGCGCCTTTTTTAACCTTTTATTATTATGCCTTCAACGTGCAAACGTTTTGCTACGCTTTATATACCCCACCCCTCGATTCCCTCCTCCTCCGTCCTTTTCCGTCTTAACCCTTACCTTGCCATTCTGTCCCAACTCGCCTTCCGTTTCGGGGCGCACTTACTCACACGCCAACCCCGTAGATGGAGCATTATTCCCAGACCTCAGAGCCAGTCTCAAACTCAGTGCCAGTCCCAGATCGCAGCCAAGTGGAATTCCAGCTTCTGCTTTTGTTGTTAATAATTTCTTTTCACTCCTCCGGAGCTTGGCTTTTGCAATTAGAATGCGTGTTAAGTGCACAAAGATACAAAAGATACATTTCAAGGGAGCAACCGAGCTAGGGGATGCCTAAGATACACAGCGAAAAAAGTGACCAAAAAAAAAGGGGGCTCATTAGCTGGGAGGATGAATGTATCTTAAGAAGTAGAGATACAAATATAGAAAAGATTTTAATTTCTTTACCCTGTATCCTCCGTTCTAATACCCTTTCTATTCCCCTTTTCTCTGTAATAAATTCCAGCGATTTTGCATAGAATCACAATAGCGCGTTGGCCATAAATTTCAAGACAATCAAATTTAATTAATTTTTCCATGTGGGCCCGAAATCAAACTGCCTCCTTGACTAAACCAAATCTAACCTAACCCTTTATCATTGGCCAGTATAACAGTGTTCAACCCCTCTAATGGCCAGGTTCTTCTTAAGCCGCTGATTGGAATGTTTTTGTGTATTCAGCTCGGTCCAAAGCTGATTTTACGCTCTCATGCAATCCGCAGCGTAGAGTGTTTTCGAGTGGTTGGAAAAACTGTTGTCGATAGAGAGAGAGGGTTTTTCTATCCAGCTAGGACTGGGGGGGATTTTCAATTAGATACGTCCTTCGACTCGCTTGTTATTCCGATGATGGGATTGCTATTGTGACGGGTTTTTTCCCTTCTCTTTCTCACTCTCTCTGCCAGGGGTGGGTGGGTCAAAAACAAACTCGCGGTTTATTTCGGCAATTTGTCTAAGTGAAATTTGCATTAATCCCATGCAGATCTCCCTCCAGCTCTTTGCATATTTTTTCAATGCCAAAATATTGGGCAGCGAGGCCCAAGTGATTTGCTAGACAGCCAGATAACAAACAAAAACTTTAAGCCTCTTCGAAGATAGCTCAAAATACGTTTAGGGGTTGGAAATTAATTAATAAACCGGGTGATGAGGTAAAGAGGGGATTTATTTAAGGATTTTCAAAGGGGGTTTATAAAGAGATGTTAAAGATTAAAGCAACGTTAGTAAGAAACTTATAAAAACTTACTTTTTAAAGAGAAAAACTGCTACAAAATCAATACCCCAAATCACTTAAGACTTTCCCAGCCTCTTAGGCTTACAAATTCTTTCCCATAACCCAACAGCTTCATTAGCATACCTGTAGCTTTCACACCTACGCAACTCATTTATGAATCACCTAGCCAAGATCACTTAGCCAGCTACCGTGGCTGGAGCTGCAGAGCTCTTAAGAGCTAACCCACAAAGGAAAAGCCATCCACACACGCACTAAATATATCATGTTAAAAAAAAAAAAAAAAAGAGAAGAAAAGTAGCTTGACAAAAGCAAAACTGTATCTTATAAATACGATTATAGACTAAAAGTAGCCACAGCTCACGGAAGAAATACGGGAGGGCAGCCAGCAGAATGCCACGTTATAATTTCACGAAATATTTTCATGAAAAAAGCATCTACTGAAAAATGCATTAAGTGCAACTCTGACTTGCAACTGCAACGGCAATGGCATCAGCAACGTAGGAAGCCATACGACAGCCAGGAGGGGGATGGGTTAAGCGGTGGGTTAAGAGGGGAATCTCGGTCTCTGTGTATGCGATGTATGCTTAAAAACAAAACTGGCTTCAGCTTTATGGCAGCGCCAAACAAACAAACCAACTCACACACAAAGTTCTACTTCTCCGGCTGCTCTGTGTGTGTGTGTGTGTGTTTTTTTTTTTTTTGTGTTTTGCTTCTTTTTGCTGGCTAACAGTGTTGGCTAACATACATTAGACTGGTAAAGTCACTAAATTTTAATTGTAAATATTTTAAAAAGATTTTTTTAACAGAGAACAGTTCTTAATTTGGATATTTAATGAACATTTTTAACATATTTTCGTATAGAAAAGAGGGTTTATATTCAAAAAAGCTTAACCAAAGAAATCATAATTAAATCTTTCAGTTTATAGATTTTTTTTTAAAGTTTTTTCCCAATCATCTTTCATTAACGAATATTTAACTTTTAAATAAAACTCATCAGAAAACCTTTCCTAAAAAAACTCTTTTATAAATCAATAAAAATACTCATCTGGCCAAACTAACCAATTTTCACCTTTAAAAAATCACAGATTCACCTTCAAAAAAAAAGCCACTTTGGCAGCACTGTGTGGCATTGCCACTGCGACTGCGCCTTAATTCTGTCCACTCCTCCAAGCCACTAAATCTCTGATATATCCGAAAATGCAAGCCAGATTTGTGGAAAAGCAGTAGAAAAGAAAAAAAAAAAAAAAAGTAAATAAAATAAAGAGGAAAAGAAACATTCTGCATCTGGTAGATACATGCGCCCGAATGGTTCTGGCAAATATTAGAGCTATGTTCCTGGGGCTAAAGATTTAATGATTTGCACTTTTATGGAAATAATTTTTGTGCTTCTCTACGGAGAGCTTGCTGGCTTGCTGGATGGCTAGCCCCATAGCAGTGGCAGCATCAGGCAGCAGCATTCTGTGCATGGCAGCAATTAAAAATATTTAATTATCGTGCAAAAAGTTGTCCGAACATGCGCAACATTTCTCACATGTCCAGAAGATACGGTCAGCCAGAGAGAGAGATTAGAAATACGCTTGGTTGGTTGGTTTTTCTAGCTTGGATTTTCCAGAGGGAGAGGCGGTGTTAAGGTGTTAGCATTCTGCATTAGAATCTACCGAAAAGCGTTGTTTGAAAATTCGTCGACTGCCAGCGATTTCCTGTTGCCCAAATAAAAAAAAAAAACAAGTTAAGGCTTCTTCTTGGGTAACCATTTTGGCAGCTTTTGGAGGCGAGAACCCCAACACATTTCGATTTATTCACTTTGAAGATGAACCGCCGCCATACGTTTAAGCCGGACTTTTTGGTCAATTTAATTCGATATACATAGACTCTGAATATTAAGAACCCCATAATAAAGTCAACAATTTATTGATTAATTCGGTGGTATTCTACGCTGTCAGAGTGTGTGTGTTGTATTAGGAACCATTTTATGGCTCAGAAATGATTTAACTTAATAAACTGGGAACTATCAAAAGCGGAATTTATGAATGACTCGTTAAAATTATGAACCATTATGATGATTATATCTTATGGTCTAGACTGAGGATGTTCCTCCTTCTAATGGGTGATAAAAGATTGGAAGTACATTTTGGCAAATTGAAAAGTATTTAGAAAAGATTTTAGATAGCTTTTATGTTTTATAATAAAAGGAAATCAAGGAGCAGAAAGTCTAGAAACTAGAAATTTATGGTTTAAGTGCTTAATCATAAAAAAACGAAATCTAGATGGCGTTTCTAAGAAGTTTAAATTTTAAGTTTCTGAACCAGAAACTAAGGTTTATCAGATAGCTTCAAATATATATAGTTTTATAAATTTAAATTCAATTTACAAACCCCTTTTCCCAATGCTAATTAATTGCTATTCATTTCATAAGGAAAGACAGTGCAGTAAATGAAAATTCCGACTGCACCTGAGCTCTTTAACTAATGAGTCGGGATTCCTGTCATTCGATTCATTATCTTTAGCGCCCTCTTACTATTTCAAGATCCCCGACCATTTGCCATTAACCATTTTCCAAGCACAAACTATCGCAGCTGTGAAAGGCAATTTGTAATTGTGTCGTTCTGGCAATGAAAAAAAAGTAAAGAAAAAAAGGAAATAAAATGCGAAACAGATGCCTGGGTGGCTGTGGAAAAAGCATTGCTCTGTTTCAATTTAATTAGCCATTAAAATGTCTGCAATTGTGTGTGTGTTTGTGTGTGTTTATCTGTGAGTATGTGACGTCACATGCCAAACAACTACGTGACGGCTTGCATCCTTTTGCACTTCCATACTCTGGGGGATTCACACAACACCCGAGTGTTAGTCTATCTTGGGCATCTGGTTCAGGTCTCTTCTGGTTTGGTTTGGCT